GTTTTCCCTCACCCAGCTCCTCCCAGATCCTTCCTACCTCTCTCCCCACCAGACTCCATGGCTTGCTTTCTCTCTCTCTCTCTGGAGAAGAAAGAAACAAACAAAAACCCAGTCCATAATTTAAAAAGATGGAAACACAAAAAACACACACAGAGAGAACCATCTCCAACTCTGGGATTTTAGTTTTTTTTTAAAGTTAATTTATTATTATTTTTATCTGTATGACTGTTTTGCCTGCATGTATACATGTAGAGCACATGCATGCTATTCCAGAAGATGACTCTCGATCTTACAGAACAAGAGAGTTACAGGCAGTTGTGAGCTATCTGATGTAATTCTGGGATTCAAATAAGGATAGTTTGGAAGAGAGGAAGCACTTTTATTGGCTGAGCCATCTCTCCACCCCTATTTGAATGTGTAATGTTTTTAGACATACATGCCTGAACTTTAAAATATTATTGAGGGAGTAACAAATGGTTCTGATGCTTCACTTTATAGACATTTATTTTCAGTAATATTCATTTGGACCCAGAAAATTACATACACTCAGGCAGTCAGCACAGCAGTGAAGATGCTAATTGCTTAACACAGCTATTGTGAATAGTGCTTCAATAAGCATAGGAAGGTATTTCTGTAGCAAGCTGCTTTTAATTTGCTTGCTCAACCTGCCTATACTCCTTCCTTTCCTTCCCTCACATGAACTGAATACTCTGCCATCATAGTAGCTTGCTTTTCCAAATTTTGTATAAAGTAAATCAAGCAGTCCAGCTTCTTTCACTCAGCTTAGTTATTCTGTAATGCATAAATTCATCCCAATATATCCTTGATACACATATATACAATCTTCTTACATACACACACACATATATGGGATAAAGTGTCCAAGGGAATATATTTCACAAGTCTTTTGCTTCATTCTTCATGAAGAATTGATGATACCTCACTGGTAACATGTGATTTTACCAATGTTATCACTTTCTGTTATGCAACCTATTTTATTTTAAAAAGGGCCCAGGTTTGAGGGTCAAATGGATATTTTGGCCCTCCCCTGTTGCTTTCTAGCTGAGCAACTGTGAGCAAATTCTTTCATATCTCTTTTCTTTACCTTCTTTATCTTAAAGAAGGAAGAATGATGGTGATTTGTGTGAACATTAAAATAAAATTTCCCTGTGCAAATGTAGCAGATGGGCAGCTTGGGCGTCATGTGGATTCCCTAGTTAAGGGTGGTGCTGGCTGTCTCTAACATAGACTCTGTTGACTGCTTTCTGATCACTCCCTCTAGTGGGGCTACCTTGCCATAGGGATAGAGGATTAGCTCAGTCCTCATATGACTTAAAGAGCTGAGGTGTGTCCAGGGGTATCCCCTTTTCTGAGGAGTAGGAGAAGGAAGATAGGGAGGAGGAGGAGGTAGAGTGGAACCAGCAAGAGAGGAGGGAGATGGCTACAATTAAGATGTAAACTCAATTAATTATTTAAAATAAAAAAAATGAAATCCCATGTATAAATAATTTAACATGGGACGAAAATGCACAGCAGATATATACTAAAAAAATTGAGATCTCTCTCTCCTTCTCCCTCTAATGGTTTCCCTGTGTAGCCTTGGCTGTCATAGATTCACTTGTTAGCTGGCCTGGAACTCATAGAGACCTGCCTGCTCCTGCCTCCCTGAGTACTGGAATTAAAGGCCTGCACCACAAGGCCATGTGTGCTTATCTCTCTCTTAAGTTTTTTTTTTTCCTTTTTTATCTTTTGTTTTGTTAATTTTTTATTTTTATATTAATTACAATTTATTCACTTCGTATCCCGGCTGTGGCCCCTCCCCTCATCTCCTCCCAGTCCCACCTTCCCTCCCTCTTCTTCCCCTATGCCCTTCCCCTAGTCCACTGAAAGGGGAGGTCCTCCTCCCATTCCATCTGACCATAATCTATCAGGTCTCATCAGGACAGGTTGCATTGTCTTCCTCTGTGGCCTAGCAAGGCTGCACCTCCCAGGGGGAGGTAATCAGAGAGCCTGTCACTGAGTTCATGGCAGAGACAGCCCCTGCTCCTCTTGCTGGGACCCCACTTGGAGACTGAGTCTATGTACTACATCTGAGCAGGGGTTTTAAATCTTTCTCTCTTTTTTTCTTTACATCCCAATCAGCTCCTCCCTCCTCTCCTCCAGGTCTCACCCTCCCACCCTCTTCGCCCTTTCCCTCCTCAACTTCTCCTCAAAAGAAGGGAGACTCTTTTGCCCCCATGCCAACCGCCCCCAGCATGTCAAGTGGCATCAGGACTAAGTGCATCCTCTTCCATTGAGGCCAGACAAGGCAGCCCAGCTAGCGCAAAGGGTTCCAAAATTTTCATACTTAAGAATGTGTTGTGCGGGGCGAGAGAGATGACTCAGCCTTTAAAGGCTAGGCTCACAACAACAACAAAGTGTTGTGTCAATGTAGTTAATGTAGCTTGGTCCACATGTAAGTTCCCTAGTATGGAGAAGAGGTGCTGACTCTGACATGAACTCTGTTGCCTGCTTTGGGATCATTTTCCCCTGGTGAGGCTACCTCACCAGGCCACAGGGGAAGAGGATGTGCTCAGTCTTGATGCAACTTGATATGCTGGAGATGGGGGGATCCTTTCTAGGAAGAATAGGGGAAGAGGGATAGGGGGAATAGGGAGGGAGGGTGGGACCTGGAGAAGAAAGAAGGGTCTATGACAGAGTTTTAAAGTGAAGAAAGAAAGAAAGAAAGAAGGAAGGAAGGAAGGAAGGAAGGAAGGAAGGAAGGAAGGAAGGAAGGAAGGAAGGAAGGAAGGAAAGCTTAATTTTTAACCTTCCTTAGAAGTTAATTGTAATATCATAGTGCCATCTGATGACCATATAGAATGATTACATTATCATTATTTCTAATAATATTCTATAGTATTTAAACCTGTAATGTGTTCTGGAATAACATCATAAGAAGCAAAAGTGAAGGCTGCATTTCAGAGTTGTTTTGCTGAGTGAGACCACTTGCCTGGGAGGCATTCATTTAAATAAAGAGTGATAGTTTGAGGGAAATAAGAACTATTTCCTAGTCTGCCCTAGCATGAACAGATGGCAGGTTGAATGCACAAGCAGATACATTGAAGACTCCATATCCATTAGAGTCTGAAGAAGATTTAGAAAGAAAGTTGCTGTTTTCTCTTGTTATGAGATCTTCCTTTGGACAGCTTTGGGCTTGAGTCTAGCTCCAGGGAGGTTTCAATAGTATGTAACCCCAACTATCACCCTAAAAATAGAAGGCCCTTCACAATTCTACCATTCACCAACCATCTACTGAAACAACTGCACCATCAGAGTTCAGGTGATGTCAGGCTCTAATAGTCTCAGTCTCAGTGAACTCGGGCCTCTAATTAAATTTTAAAAAAGCCTCTTCACATCATCACAAATCATCACAAAGGAATGATTTGGATTAGGACTGAAATCGTCAGACTCACCATTGGGCTACAGTTTCACAAAGCACACACCACCCGTGCTTCCAATAGCTCTGAAGCATGTCTCAATAGATGACCACCCTTGCCATCCCTCTGGCACCATTAATTAGTCAAAACTTGTCAATGTGTTGAATGTAAATTTTATTGTGATTTTTTTTTTTTTTGGTGTAAGGCAGTATGGTGAAAGCACTATAAAAGTTACAAATACTGCAAAATGTGAATGAAAATGAACAAGCTAAAATAGAGAAAGAAATACAAAATGTATTTTTAAATGAATGCGTGTTGAACTAGACTAAGTACTACAACTATGTGTATTTGCATCGTTGCAGAAGGGCTGAAATAATGTTGGGGTGGGCTTTGGGGTTAAGATTTGAAAGAACTTTATGGAGGAAGTGGAATTTAGGCTGGGCCTTGAATAAGGGCAGAATGCTAATAAATGAGAATGAAGGGATGAACATGTAATGACTAATTCACAAGGAAATTTTGGTGACATACTAAAAACAAAGCCCTGGGGAGTGGAGCATCCCATCAGAGGCAAAAGCCTGGTGGATCTGCACGGGACCCAGGCTCCCAAGTTCCCATATAGAGTTTTCAGTACAGTGATGATATTAGGAAGTCCAGGGCAATGGGCTTGTTTGTAAATGTAGCAGCAGCAAGAGGTTTCACATTGTAGTCAGGGACCCCGAACTGGCTGTGCTGTCTCTGAATAGATTCTTTTATCTTTTTGGTGTATGTGATAACATCACCAGTCCTTACTCTTGCCCACTGACTGTCTGAATGGTAGTTCGTGTGCACTTACGTGTGTGTGTGAGTGTAGGTGTGTGTGGATGGGTGAGGGACTAAGGCTTTGTCTCACCCTGCAGCTTCTTCTATTTTTTCCCTCTCATGGCACACAGCTGGCTTCCACATTGCTGAAGCTCAAGCTCTTATGACTGTCTCAGCTTCATTGAACTCCAGCTCTTGATTTAGCACCTAGGAAGCTTCTGCAACATGAAGGCAAAACACTGAGGGGAAGTGACTTGAGTTAGGCAGGACCACATTTTCTGGAGGTGGTGGTGGTGATAGAGGTAAGGGCTGAGACTGTTAAAGTCAGCTCTGGCTACTGGTGAAGTGTTGCTCGTAAATCTGTAGTGTCAATCAGGAGCTGGATGTCAGGCTAGACCAGCTTGGCCTTGATCACCTCTCCCTCTTCTTCAACATGCCCTACAGGGAAAATATGCTGGGCAGGTGGAAACAGCAAAGACACACATAGGATGTTCAGATTTTTGTTATTGTCCCATTGAATCTCACCTCTGGAAGCCCTAAGGATCTTTTTTCAGCAAACATGTGTATGATCTCCAGATGGGACTGTCACCTCCCCTGTCCAGCTGCTAGAGGTATATAGGTTATATAGCTACTGATACTACTTGGGTCAGGAGGTATGGGAAATATCAGAAAGGAGGAACATGAATAAGTGTGGAGTTTGAATAATTGTGAATCTGAAGTGAAGACCTGGTGCCTGACCAAAAAAAAAGATGAAAACTGTCATGATGCTCTTATATTGAATGCTTAGAGCTCAGTGAGATCATCGCTGGAGATAACTTTGAAGCTGATGTGGCCTTGCTTCACTTTGGCAGTGGGACCACCCTTTTTACGCAGGTACAGAGATTTCAGATCACGGCAGTCACTGGGGTCAGCATCCAGAGTAACCTGCCCCAGGAACTGATCGCAGAATTTTCTGCTGTTCCACACCTAAAGACACAAATTAAGAAAGTGAAGATCAATAACAAACTTGGATACTGATGGAACTAGTGACATCTAGAATGTACATCAAGAAACTTGTTTATTTTTTTCTTTGATTAAGATGATAATGTTCAGAACAAAATAAATTAAAGTAGATCAAGCATTCGTGGGTTTGTTAAATAAAAGCAGCTAAGCAGAAGTATTAAGCCAGAAATACTGCCAGACTAAGGTTATCCATACAAACCTAGCAGAATAGGGGTTAACAGAACTAAAAAATACTTCCTTTCATGGGACTTTATAGTACATGTGCCCACAAGTGTAGTCAAAAGCATATGGTCTTCTGGAAATAAAGCCAAGAACTTTAAGTCACAGATGAATAATGAAGCCAGTGTTTTGCTTAATGAGAAGTATTCTGAGTACAAACCAAATAAATAATAGATAGCCTTTGCTCTGCATCCTAAAAATATGAGATAGTTGGGAGAATCTGATATGTGGTAGAGAACCTACTGCCCCCCCCCCCAAGTTCCCTTGTTCAGTCTTACCTGGATGATAATAGGAATGTCAGTGGTCCTTCTGTAGAAAATGGCCTGCGTGTCAAAAACGGCATGCACAGTATTCTTCTGGACAGGGGAACGGACTTCTTCCTTCCCACATTTGATGACCAGATATGGATTTACAGCTGGAACAAAGAAACATTTGGTTCTGCTTTTATTTTTTCTTTGTTTGTTTTGTTTCTGTTTGTAACACAGTGATTAAATTTTCCTTCATGGAGATGAAAGAAGCTATAATTTCACAAAGTCCATTCTGGACATTTTTACTTATCTGGAACACCAAAATGATGCAGAACTGAGTGTGTTTTCTCTTTCCTTTCCTTTTTCCTTTCCTTTTTCCTTTCCTTTCTTTTCCTTTCCTTTTTCCTTTCTTTTTCCTTTCCTTTCCTTTCCTTTCCTTTCCTTTCCTTTCCTTTCCTTTCCTTTCCTTCCCTTCCCTTTCCTTTCCTTTCCTTTCCTTTCCTTTCCTTTCCTTTCCTTTCCTTTCCTTTCCTTTCCTTTCCTTTCCTTTTCCATATATAATAGAAAAGAAAAGTGATCACTTTGTAGACAGTTCCCCCACAAAGTTCCATTCCATTCTCTACCAGAGTTAAAATCTCTGGACTGAAAACACCAATGGAGATAGGAATTGCTGATAATGTGTTCCAGCCATATATTCAGTAACCAAAACAGAAGTTTGCTTTCCTGGACACCGATGTAGTTCTTACTTTCATTGGCATACTTCTTCTCCAGGCCCTCAGCACTGTGAACAGTGATCTGTGTAACCACCTTTGGGTAGCCACGTGCCAGATTCCAGCAAGACATCTTGGGCATGTCCAATGTCAGTTCCCTAGAACATTAAAAAAATGCATCATCTCATGATGAAATGGACCTGCCTAAATTGACTTCATTGTTGAAACATGTAAGTTGTGACTTATATTTTTATGGGAGTGGCTTCTTTTTTTCTGGTTTATAGGACTGACACTTAAAGAACAGTGTGGGTACAGCTGGAGTAAAGCATAGTTTAGGCCATCTGGCACTAAGAACTAGGTTTAGGAGCAATGAAGAATGCCAGAAACTCAAGGAGAAGATATAACCAATCAGAGAACAGAAGATAAAATACAAGGGGCAGAGCTTAAAAGAGAAGCCCCTTCCCCTTAAATGCCAGATCAGAATTCTAAATCTCAGATCTCCATTAGAGAATTTTCCTTAGCTCCACTCTGAGAAATATTTTAACACTTTCATTTCAGTTAGTGAGATCCTAGTTGAGCATATTGTCTCATTGAGGATAGGCATAGAGGAATATGGGTAAAAGGTTTAGGATCAGAATAAAAGAAGAGAACAAGGGGCTGGAAGAGCATCACAATAAAACTGAACCTGAGCTGAACAGGCACTTCAGAGAAGATCCTCAGTAGAAATTCGCTGGTGCGGCCGTGCTGGAACATGGTTGGAACAAGCACATAGTTGCCCTTCTTCAGATACTTGCTCAGAAACACAGTACGGGTGTCAATATAGGTGGAAGTCCCAGCACGTTCCTGAATATACAGGTGGTGGAGGCGGAACCTACGATTCATCTCCACCTAGAAGCCAAGAAGTGGAAGCATTCCATTCTATTAACATCAGAGCTTTTCTATTAGAAGATCCCACTTCTACAGTCTTCTTTAGCCCTTCATAATTGGCCTAACTCTAAAACCTCCTAACTTAGGTTGAATGCTCTTACTCTTTCTGCTCTGAATGCTGTTCTCACCTTGAAGAGCTCAAAACCAATGATGTAATTGTCAGGTCTTCCCATTCGGCGGTAAGTACGGAGGTCCTTTTGTTGCAGTGACATGATAACCTTATGGCCGTCCTCAGGCACGGTGAAGATGTACTGATGGTAAGAGGCCATCAAAAAGATGAATTAGCACTCCCACTTAAGATAATCTAGCCTAAATTTGGGGAAATCAAATTCTATAATGGGAAGCAGAGTCTCCAGTTAATTTCTGGGCTTTACTATTGACCAGAAAATGACATAACAGGAAATTAATTCACATCTAAGTAAAGATCATTATAATTACTTCTCATTATGGCATCCAGCATAGACTGAAAACTCCATTTTTAGGGCTTTGGTGTCAAAGTCGGTAAGTTTTAATATATATGTTCCTGATAAGTTATTATTTTCTTCTTTTTATTATAACTTCGTGTTTAAAGCTAGATACAGAAATATTCCAGAATTCACAAAAACAGAAAGCATTCTTATTTGACTCAATAAGACTTTGCCACACAGCTATGACATGTGTGCAATCAAGGCAAGGGCCCTACATGTCAAACTGGTGTATACACATACAGAAAAGCAATTCACCAAGTTTGGTACAGTGGTGTGGTACCTGAAACATTTCTAGAGTTTGTAAGTGGAAGTGAAGTAGAGGAGGGGTAACAATAATGAACGTTATTTAGGGACAACTAAGATGAAAAATATGAAGAAGCTTATGAGTTAAGTAAGCCAATTTTCCTAGCCTTAGTGTTCTCCAAAATGCCTGGCCAATGAGACCTGTAGGGATAGAGATAGATATGTCCTTGGACAGTGAGGAAACAACCCAACCATAGTTATGTCTGCTATGCTTTAGCACATCTTCATGCAGGCTACTATAAATTCAGGGTGCAGATGCTTGTGAGAGTCTTGTTGTTTTCTTGGAATGTTCCTGGCCAGGCCACCTATAATGTCACCTATAATAGGATTGTGGTGGTAAATAGAGTGAAGGAAAAACTGATGGGGCAGTGATGTAAATCCTGAGGAGGGGGAAATGACCTCATTCTCAAAGAGAAAAAGCAAAATGATGGGTTTCAGAAATGTAACCTATATAAAAAGGATTAAAAATATAATGTGTGTTTCAAGTGAACAATTGAGCAGTAAAGGCAAATTAGGAAGAACTGAAACAACATCTCTCTCTGCTATGTGAGACCATGCTCTCTATGTGAGACAGATATTCTCTCTACTATGAGAGACCATCATCAGAAAGCAGGAGTTACAAGCTTTAACATTCAGAACAGGAGAGAGGCAGCTGGAGAAACTGACTCAGATTTGAACATGTTACCAAGGTAAGTCTCTGCAAAGATACCTTGTTTTCTGGGTCTTACAATCATCTGAGTCAATCCCTGGGGATAATAGTTGATGACTATTATGCAATAGATTCAAAGACCTGATACTGAATGAATACTCTGGAGAGGACTAAAGTGAGATCTGATTCTTACTGATTCAATAGCTTGGAGGCAAAGAACAGTAATTGATTTTAACCTGAGGATTCTGCAGAAAGGTATCACGGTTGTTATAGCAGCCTCCTGATCGGTTCATCAGAGGGTCATCATCCACAGTCCAACATCCCACCACTGATTCCAACTCCTTGCGGCCAAAAACAGGGTTATTCACATTGCGGCAGACATTCAGTTTATGAAAGTTGTGGCAAAAATCTTCCAGACTCATCCTAAATGGAAGGAACAGGGAAAGAAAGAAAAATGGTACTTGGTCTGCCTTTCTAGTAAGAGACACAAATTCCTGTAGCAGAAAGACTTCTCACCAAAATTCTCCATCATCAGACATCACAAGACCCAGATTCTTGCGATCTGTTACAGTCAGTTGCTGCCACTCTTCGGAACTAAAAGCAAATAAAGGATAAAAAAAAAAATATGTCAGTGTTCTTGCCAGGAAGTCAAAAGAAGAGAATACATGAGAACCAGGCCTAGTGTATTTTATCTCTGGCTGGGTTGCAGACCACAGTCCTGACTAAAGCTCAGAGATATTCCTGTTGATAGCTCATGATCAATCTAGACGGCTAGGTTTGGAAGAATCACAGAGCTTTGGAGGTGTAGTGAACTTTCACTCACATTTCACTCCAGGGGCCACTCCATTCTTGTCTTCCCAATGGGTTCCTCAGGCGAACCATGTACAGCTTCTCAGCACTGAAGACTTCGACAAGTCTTTCTCCAAGGCGGAACTTGCGAATATCAGTCATGGTATAGGTGTAACCCTTCAGTAGACCCCAGTCTGTTTCAACTTCTTGTTCCTCTTGGCTAGGTGACTGAAAGCAAAGAAAGATACATAAGAACATAGGAATTAGAAGACCCCAGTCTCGATCCCCTTCTATCTTGGTTGGTTCATGCCAGTATGATTGAATGAAGTTCTTCCCCAGGTAAATGGAAATCTGATCCTGATATATAGTTTATTACAAAAGTAAACAAAAGAGAGAAAATAAAGTAACCAGACAAATTACTTTAAAATTCCAATGGAAGGGGAGGAGGACCTCCCCTATCCGTGGACTTGGAGAGGGGCATAGGAGGAGATGAGGGACAGAGGGTAGGATTGGGAAGGAAGGAGGGAGAAGGCTACAGCTGGGATACAAAGCGTATAAACTGTAATTAATATTAAAAACTTAATAAAAAAAGAAAAATCCAAATTCTAAATAATTACTGCCCTACATAAATATGAAATGTGATTCAAAAAATGTGGTAGGGACAATCTATTTTTTGAGGGAACAGTTATAACTTCAGGAGCCAAGACGATAGTAATAATTTACCAAAAGTTATTTACAACACCTTTGATGGTGCCTTTGCTCTCAGTGGAATGACTTTTCAAAGGGATTAAAAAAAAATCAATGTTCCTTAGTCTCCAAGCCAGGACTCCATAACTATGTTAGCTTTCTGAGTCTCATTATTTGACTCTTATGTGAATCTTTGGGTTTACTACAATGTTCCCAACTAAATATTTTTATCCTTTGTGCCAGACATGAACATAAAATGTTTGTTTTGGGTGAACACAAACCTCAATGGAGCAGCAAATTAGACCTCCTTTGGTGAATGTTTTGTACAGTTCTCTGAACAGCTTGTACTTCTCCTCAACAAGGTCCATGTATCTGCCTTTCTGCATGTCAACAATCTCAGCCAATGTGCCCGTGAAGTCCATGATGATATCAGTGATGGTCAAACCATCCAAAGCCTCATAACAGCCCAGCAGCCTGGAAGCAGAGTTATGTCAGGAAGATGAATTATCCACGTCACTGGCATCATTTTCCCAAGAATTAAAACAATTCCTGCTCAGCCTTTACCAGCTGGCTTTTCTCTGCATATGACGTGGGAAATACTCTGAGATTATGATACAATTAAATATTTCTAAGCTTAGGCTACGTTGATAAATGCTAGTCCATACAGAAACTTCTTCCTACAGGCAGGTGAAAGACAAGGTTAAAAGCAGATAGCAATTCCATGTGAATTTCAGATTCACAACCTGAAAAGTTATATAGGAGACCTAAGATTAACAGAAACCAGAGCAGTTGATTCCTCTGTCATCTATGAACTCTGAGAGGCAGGCTCAAGGCTAGAGAAATGTTATTAACTTACAGAGATGCAGCCCAGTTTGAACTCTGGGGTTGAATGGAGGGAGAATGAGTGTTCAAAGACAAATATAATCTCTTTTTCTTCATGTATCATGACCAGAGAGTAGTTAACCCCCTCCTTACTTTGCATAAGCTTTTTCCAGTAGAGCATTCCAAAACTCATTCATGGAGGTGGAGAATGAGAAGACCAGATCTCCATTGATGGTGGGCAGCAAATCATCAATCACCACCTCCGTCCATTCTCCAAAGTGCCAGAAACGGAAGCGAAATATTCCAGCATATTTTTCTGGCTTTCGAGGATCCCACTCCTGTTCCTTATGGTTGGGAATTGTCTAGAAAGGTGAGAACATTTAGTCCAGTATTACTCACAAGACAATATCCAGATATAGAGATTATAGTGAATTCCTGGAAAAACCATATAGCAAATGGAAGTTTTCCATATATACTTGCTTTGAGACTAGGTTATAAGAACCTAGGATATGGTATCTTGTCCACAACTTCTGTTTGCTTGGATTAGTTTTGCTGTCTGTGTTATCACCATATCTGCCATTACTGCTCTAAATACATCTGATACTGGAAAGACAGCTGCAGGGGTTCCTATAGATAATCAATAAACTAGATGATAGACTATCCACATAGATTCATGATCAAATGTTTAAATACAAGAACAGGACATTAAAAAGTAAGATGAGAGCTGCAGAGATGGCTCTGATTGAGAGAATTTACTCCTTAATCATCAGTACTGGAGTTGGATCCCAGTACACAAGTAAGAAGTCAAGTGTCCCTGCCACAGCTTGTGACCCCAGCTCCTCAGAAGGGAGAGACAGGAGGATTTAGGGAATGCGATAGCTTTCAGATTCATGGACAAAAACATCAGTTCTGCTTCAGAGATAGACCTTGCCTCAAAATGAATAAGTCAAGAGTGTAAAATCAAGTCACCAAATGCACTCTTCTAGCCTCCATGAGTGAACATAGAGTGCACACACATGTATTCATGCACATGTCCTCACACACATAAGCAATAGAATAAATCTTAAAATTGAAACCATTGAAAATACAACACTTACTCTGTTTGCCCTGTCTAGAGTGTCATGTATATTTTTTATTCTACATAATTCAGATTTTAATCATGTTATTAATAAAAATCACATTTTTGAAATTCAATTTTTATAACAATTGCACACAAATAACCAAAATCTATTTTTATGAGTAGAACGCTTATTGACATAAGTCAAATGTTCTTTGTTATTTTGAATTTTATCTGAATATTAAAGGATTCTTGTACTATTAATAATTTATTAAGACTCTTTCAGAGACTCCTTTCTATTTTTCTCACATTTTCTGTTATGCACATATGTGTTAATGACTTTTAGCTCCTACTTGTTTCATAACAAGTTAATGCAAATAATACAATATGAAGAAATATTGAGTCAAAACACTACAAGTGACAAGAAAAGAGCAGGTAGTATATGTGACAAAGCAAGTACAGCGAAATGTCAATATTAGAATCTAGTGTATATGCATTTCCACTGTAAAACACACCTTGTCTTTATTTGTGAAAACTCTTACAACAGAAACGAGTTACTATGTTCTAGCTTCAAGAAATAGAATGATCTTGAAAAGCTATGAGCTGATTTTCTGTCAAGTTATTCAAGAAGAAAATGGGAATAAACTAAGATCCCACAGAAAAGTTAATACCTTTGTCCAGTGTGACTCCTGAACAGCCAAACAGGAAAATGCAGGGATCATTGACTTGTTCCCCAGTCTTCCCTGGATCAGCTGATGGTTGCTGATGTTACCCACAATCAGATGGGGGTCATCAGAAATGTCCTGGGGATATAGTAATTGATTATGCAGGAGTCAAGGAGAAGTTGAAGAGTCACTAGAAGCTGAGCTAAGTCTTTATAAAGGAGAAAGGGTTGAGTGACGCTCAGGTTTTTATAGATGGGATAAAGGAAAAGTTGGGGAGATTGGTGGTAAAAACACAAAGCAGTGGATAATTTGCACAGAAAAAAGGCTGAGTGGGGAATGAGTGAAGCTATGGAAGAAGAGAATGGAATGAGATAGGATGGCTTGTGGTGCTAGAAGGCCTTTGTCATTGGGCTTTGGAAACATTTTCACCACAGCAGTGAACACTGACTAGAAGACTAGAAGAATTTGCATGCTGCATTCTAATCTCATTTTTGTCAGGATGAGATTTCCCTGAAGTATCAATGCTTGGAAGGAGGATTACCTTTAAGCGACAAGGTCTAATAGAAGTGAACATTAGTGCACCTGTCTCTTTAAGATGATGAGTCCTATAGGAGACCATACAGGAAGTCCTATTCTAACACAAAGCAAAGCTAACAGCAGTTTCTATGACAACCAGCTTTCCCATCCCTCACCTTTGTATGAATACAAATGACAGTAGCATTAATAGCAGGTGTTAATAGACCATTCACAGGACTATTTCAAAGGACACTGTCCCCACAGTGTATATTCCAAAATTATCTAGCCAAAGAGTGGTGGCAGTATTTGCTGGGAGAATATATGTGTATTTTTATTTCAGTATATAATTAGCTGGTCATTCCCACTGTGAATAGGAGAAATGAAAGCTAAATAGTGTAACTGCAACAAAATAGAATGAAAACAAGATGAACCTATTTTCATAGTATATTTAGTGCCTAAAGAGAAAGAATCCCATAAGTTCCTTAGGTGATGGAATGGATTCCACAGTGAGTGACAGAATACTTGAGTTGACTACTGATTGGTCACTGGACAAGTAAGAGACAATGAGGTGTAGCAGATAGAGAGACAGATATAAGCCAAGGAAAAGCACTCTACAGGACATCATGTAATTACAGACATGATGTGACTCAGAGCGTTAACACTTGCAGAGCTCAAAGACATCAAATCCCAATTAAGTCTTGATAAATGGAAACAGTTTCATGGAAGTGGTTGTTGGCCCATAAGTTGACCTTCTGTATATCTTGTTAAAATAAATCCAAGTTACAAATAGAAAGAAAATCTAGGCACACACCCTTTAAATTATTAAATAGAAAGCAATTTCTTTTTTCTGGTACACAATGTCTAGTTTTTTTTTTTTTTTTAATGGATATACTTCTTGATGAAGCACACTACAGAGTGAAGCATTCCATACATCTGTTTGAAGCCAAAAAAAGCTCTAGAAAGAAATAGGCATTCTGGGCACTGACACATCCAAACTGAAAATTAACTGGGCATCGACCTGCCAAAAGGAGCCTGTTAGGTGGCTTTGTCAGATATGAGTCTGCTGGCCTTTTTTGTTTCTCACTGTCTTTTGTCTTGGGAGACTACTTCTATCTTACTAAATATTTTATGGTTTGTCAGCTGCTTTTCTTTGAGCATAGATCAAGTGTGTTGGAGGAATCAAATTCTGGTGCTTCTTCTCTCCATTTCTCTGCTTTATCTAACATGAAATTAAGAAGCATTGCCGTTACTCCCTCAGTCGGACATTACCACTTTATTTGGAACAAGATATTAAATTATGCCCTAACTTCTTGGATACAGATGAAACAGAGGATTGCTTCCTAGCATAGAAAACAGCCAAATGAGTATTGATAGGTGGAAAAAATGCTTTAATATATTTTAAGGCAAATTAGTTGCTGGTTTCATGTGGAGTTGCTAGGAGTTGGAGTTACTTTTGCAATGTGTTTAATTGAGATAAGCAGGAACCTACACCTAGTCAATAATTTTAATATGTGAACTTCTCAGATAAGGGAGTAAAAAGACACACAAACAGATGCAAAATGAAGAGCTGGGTTATTAGTATCCTCTTTGAATGACTTGAATACAATTATTATCAATAGCATGCTTTACAATCTTATAATACCTGTTCAAAATTTCATGTGGAATACTTAAGAGTGTGTTTTAAAACACAGTTAAAATCATAGGCTAGCAAAACCAGGAGAAAATTTAAAGACTCTCTAGATTTCTTATTTTACAGTGAAAGAAACAGGTTGATCAGATAAGAGCAGCCACTTGAGTCTCTAGTTATCTATCTAATCACTAGGACATCTCGGTTTAGAACTTTGATTCTTCATAAAAGCGTAATATTAAAGAAGGGAGAGGATGGACATCAGAAGAAGGAAAAAACAGGAAACAACCTAGGAACCTGCCACAGAGGGCCTCTGAAAGGCTCTGCCCTGCAGATTATCAAAGCAGATGTTGAGACTTATGGCCAAATTTTGGGCACAATACAGGGAATCTTATGAAAGACATGGGAAATAGTAAGATCTGGAGAGGACAGGAGGTCTACAAGGAGAGCAACCAAACCAAAAATTTGAACACAGGGGTCTTTCCTGAGACTCATACTCCATCCAAGTACCATGAGTGGAGATAACTTAGAAACCCTGCACAGATGTAGCCCATGGCAGTTCAGTGTCCAAGTGGGTTCCATAGTACTGGGAACAGGGACTGTCTCTGACATAAACTGATTGGCCTGCTCTTTGATCACCTCCCCCTGAGGGGGAAGCAGCCTTACCAGGCCACAGAAGATGACAATGCAGCCACTCCTGATGAGACCTAACAGACTAGGATCAGAAGGAAGAAAAAGAAACCCTCCCCTACCAGTGGACATGGGGAGGGGCATGCATGGAGAAATGGGAGGAAGGGAAGTATTGGGAGGGGAGGAGGGAGGGAACTAGAGGGGGGATACAAACTAAATAAAGTGTAATTAAAAATAAAATTAAATTAAAATTAAAAAAATCAATTCACAATTTTGTGGCATCCCAGATAAAAACAATGGCATAATGCCATTTTAAATAAAGATTTCTTTTCACTTCAAAAAAAAAAAGGTATTCATGGTGTCAGCTGGCCCATCCCTTTCTCTTTAAGCTTGTCAATGATCCTCTGCAGGGGGATAATATTGGGCAGCTACCCCATTGAGATCTATCCCAATATTGTATACTCTTTGCTCAACACTCCATTATTTGGAAGATTTTCTGAACTCTTGGATTTAAAAGAACATCACCCATAAGCACTGATTTCTAGAATTCAATAAATCAGTCTTGTAACTACATGCAAGTACCACTATGTGGGAGACATGAAACAAGTCTTTCTAAAGACATAGCTTATGCCTCTTACACAAAACATTAAAAGACTAGAAAACAGCCAAAGAGTTAGAAAAGATTAAAATGAGTCAATGCAAATCCAACAGCACTAATAACTTTCCAGAAAAAAAAGAAAAATAATGAAATGGCTCTTAAGTGACTTTTACTGTGTATTAGGATACACTGGATGTCTTCCTGTTAAACTTAAAGGAAGGTTGGACTATTTTTCTGTAACTCCAACCTGAGATGCAGAGCATAGACAGGACAATTCAGACTGAGCCATGCTGGTGTGGTAGAAATGGGGTTCAATAAAAGGCCACAGCTCATATATCCATACTGTCAGGGTGACTTCAGAGTAGTGAGGAGATATAGAAGAGGCTGTGTTCCTAATGGCTCCAGATGTGCTGGCATGGTTAAAGGGATTCTTGAACTGAGCTGTTTGGCAAAGCAAAATAATTCTTAGGTAAAATATACATAATACTAAGAAATTGAACATAAGAAAAGCTGGAGCATTCCCCAAATACTATCACCCCAAGATAAATGTTCTGTAAAAATCATATCTTTTCCAAGAAATATATTTGCCTGGCCGAACTTTGAGGAACATCTCAATTATTCTCACCTCATCCCTATTCCCAGAAATCTCTGATGGGAAGAGACACACAATTACAAGATCTGTAGCCCTGCAAACATTACTCTATTTGCAACAGTTAAATGCAGACCTTTAGCATTTCTTTATGCAAGGAAGGCAAAAAGAATTGAGATTCAGGGTAAAACATCAGGAACCACAGAAATATAAAATATTTCTTAAATAACCAGCATCCAGAAGAATGGAGGCAAGTCTTTTCCACACTATCTGTGTAAACAATAGAAAACACAGAGCCACTTTCTGTGGAAGACATGATGTCTGGAGACCAGAGAAAATTCATGAGCCATCTTAGTCAAAATTCTCTACCAAGGTTTCACAGTTCAACAGTAGATGGAAATTTTATTAGCACACAGGAGTATTGCTTCTATTGTCATTCCTTCGCTTGCTATCTTCTACCTAAACATAAATATTCTTCTTGGTATGATTTCCTTTATAAGATTTCCCCTGCCATTCTTATAACCATGATTTTAACCTGGAACTTCTTTACCCTCCTGTTTCACCCAGGTGATGTAGCAAAATGGCCACTGTGTAGAGTGCTCCATGAAGGAATACGATACAAAGCTCACTGGCGTTAGATGCAGAACTTAGAAGTTGACAAAGAGAGTTGACAGAAGATCTTGTGCAGGAGCCCTTTTCTTCTTCCACAGCTGGCTGCACAAATCCCCAGGAGGCTTTGTTTCATCTAAGTCAGGGATTAGATGTGTCTGACTCTGGGCCACTATTGTAGGTGGATATGAGTCAATCAGGAAAAAAGCCAGAGTGGTTGGAGAGAACTAGAGAAAAGATTTCTGTGGGAATTTGGCACATTGATTCAGCCTAAAATTTTTACCTGCAGACTCAAAATTACACTGAAATTTCCTGGAACTTTCCTGGAGATAACCTAGAACCCCTGCACAAATGTAGCCCATGGCAACTCAGTGTCCAAGTGTGTTCTATAGTAATGGGAACAGGGAATGTCTCTGACAGGAACTGATTGGCCTGCTCTTTGATCATCTCCCCCTGAGGGGGGAGCAGCCTTATCAGGACACTGAGGAAGACAATGCAGTCAATCCTGATGAGACCTGATAGGCTAGGATCAGAGGGAAGAGGAGGACCTCCCTTATCAGTGGACTGGGGAGAGGCATGGGGTGGAGAAGCGGAGGGAAGGTAGGATTGGGAGAGGAGGGGGAGAGAGCTACAGGGGGGATACAAAGTGAATAAATTGTAATTAATAAACAGAAAAAGAAATAACAAGCAAAAAAAAAAAAAAAAAAAAAAAAACGGTGGTGTTGAAAAGGTGCTTGGAAAGGCTGTCTTTGGGTTTCTTAACCTTTTCCAACACCAAGTTTCCAAGTAGAGAACATGGATTCATTTACGATGGAGCAGCATCAACACAATGAGGATAAATCAGAGTAGTGTTTGAAAGGAAGGTACATAAGTATATGTTTGTAAAAAGAGTCCCAAACAATACTATGATAGGAAGAACACTTGTTTGGGCTTTGAAGACCAGTCCTGGATTGATTCTTAGCTTGCCAGTGGTTGGACCCTTAGTGAATCTTTTTTTTTTCTTTCTTTCTAATTTTTTGTTTCTTGTGTAGCCTTGGCTGACCTGGACTCACTAGACTTGCTTTGTAAACCAGGCTGTCATTGCACTCACAGAGATCTGCCTGATTTTGCCTCCCTGAGTACTGGGTACTCCACCATGCCCCGCAATCCCTGAGTGAATCTTTACCTTCTTGGAAATCTTCATCAGCATGAAAGGCAAAATACCTATTGTTCACAGTCTTGTTTCTATATTTGGTGTGTGTGTGTGTGTGTGTGTGTGTGTGTGTGTGATTTGGGCACAAACATGACATCCATGTGGAGGTCAGATGACAACTTTTGGAAACTTGTTCTCTTTTTCCACCAGGTGGATTCCATAGACCAAACTCTGGTCTACAAGCTTCCTGGCAAAGTCTTACCCGATGAACCATGTTGCAGATGCCTGCTCTTTCATTTGATATATATATATATATATATATATATATATATATATATATATATATATTTTTTTTTTTTTTTTTTTTTTTTTTGAGACAGCATTTCACTGCATTGCCCTGGCAGTCCTGGAACTTGCTCTGTACACTAAGCTGGCCTCAAACTCAGAGATTTGACTGCCTCTGTCTCAAGAATGCTGAGATTAAAGGCAAGTGCCACCATGCCCAGCTCCCTGTTATTTTTTTTAAAACCAGGAAAGGGAATTACATCAAAGAAATTGTAACATACCTACCTTGCTAAACCATGGTTAGTAAAGATGAAGTGAATAATATATAAAGAACTCCAATATATAATGAAATCTATACTAGACGTGTCATAAATGCAATTCCTTTTTCCTTTCCTGTTGTGTTCATTCTCTACCCTTACACACACACACATACAAACACACACACACACACACACACACACACACACACACACACACACACA